TAGGGCAGATAGAACTTTTCTTGTGGGTTTACAAGACTTTAAATATTTACAAGACCTGATAGCCTCATCTTTCACCCTTGGAGCAACAGGTGGGTTTGAATTGCTGACCTTGTGGATAGGAGCTCAATGCATCGGCCACTATGCCACCAAGGTTCCTTATCAGGAGATATCAAGACACCCTGGAGAAGGACATGATGCTCGGTAAAGTGGAGGATCAGTAAAACAAAGTAGAAGGCACCCACTAAGACTGGTTGACCTAGTGGCTACAGGAATTGTGAGGATGGTGCAGGACTGGGCAGTGTTAGGTTCTATTACATGTGCACAGAATTGCTGAGTCAATTGGTGGTACCTCACAACCACCACCACCCAGAAATGCTACACTCAGAGTTGGTAAGAATTTGATGACCAGAATGCCGAATAACAAGGCCAAGTTGTATTTAGGTACTTTTGTTGATACAAAAAAATAACTAAGTCACTCTTGCAAAATTAAAGTTCCACTGTATTGCGGCACTATGCAAGCCGATTTCAGTGATGATTCCGGTTACACTCTGTTTATCTACAAGTTCCCCTTATGGTTTGTTTCAAGGTGATTCCTGGAAAACACCCCATGCAGTGAAGACAGACAGTTTACAAATGTATTAGGATGCTTTGATATCAGTGACACGAGTTAATGAAACTTGTTTTAAATGCACCTACTGAGTTACAATTAATCAATCAAAACATTTATTCAAAACCTGTATCATCAAACCAAAACGTTTCCAATTGAAAATTTAACTTTCACCAATTTTAACTTCTACAAAAAAAAAGAAAGAAAAGAAAAAGAACTTGACCATAGTAACATAAGGTAAGAATTTTCCCAAGAATAATGGGTCCTGATCCAACCAATGAGAAAACTTCTCTTCAAATTAAAAACAAATGTTTGAAACTGACGGAATGTATATAAACAGATGCTGTGGAAGACTGCTTAGTTTACATCTCATTTTACATTTAAAACTATCAAAAATGAAGACACGTAAAAAAATGTTTTAAAAGAGTCTTACAGAAAACCAAACCCATGCAGTTGATCATTCAAAAATGCTTAGCATTGGACTGCTAACCTAAGTGAAAATTGGCGGTTCAAACCCACTAGCTACTCCTTTGGAAAAAAGATGAGGATGTCTGCTCCCATAAAGATTTACAGTCTCAGAAACACAGAGGGTTAATATGAGCCAGAATCAACAGCCATGGCAATGGTTATGTTAGTGAGTATGCATCCAAATAATTTTTAAAAATCATTTTATTGGGGGCTCATACAACTCTTATCACAATCCATACATACATCGATTGTATGTCAAGCACATTTGTACATTTGTTTCCCTCATCATCCTCAAAACATTTGCTTTCAACTTGAGCCCTTGGTATCAGCTCCTCATTTTTCCCCTTCCCTCCTCACTCAGCCCTCCCTCATGAACCCTTGATACTTTATAATTATTATTTTTTCATATCTTACACTGTCCGACGTCTCCCTCCTCTTCACCCACTTTTCTGTTGTCCGTCCCCCAGGGAACAGGCTACATGTAAATCCTTATAATCGGTTCTCCCTTTCTACCCCACCTCCCCTCCACCCTCCGGTATCACCACTCTCACCACTGGTCCTAAAGGGATCATCTGTCCTGGATTCCCCAAGTTTCTCGTTCCTATCTGTACCAGTGTACAACCTCTGGTCTAGCCTGATTTGTAAGGTAGAATTGGGATCATGATAGTGGGCGGGGGGAGGAAACATTTAGAAACTAGAGGAAAGCTGTATGTTTCATTGTTGCTATACTGTGTCCTGATTGGCTCATCTCCTCCCTGCGACCCTTCTGTAAGGGGATGTCCAGTTGCCTACAGATGGGTCTTGGGTCCCCAATCTGTACTCCCCCTCATTCACAATGATTTGATATTTTTGTTCTTTGATGCCTGATACCTGATCCTTTCAACACCTCATGTTCATACATGCTGGTGTGATTCTTCCATGTGGGCTTTGTTGCTTCTGAGCTAGATAGCTGCTTGTTTACCTTCAAGCCTTTAAGACCCTAGACACTGTATCTTTTGATAGCTGGCTCCATCAGCTTTCTTCACCACATTTGCTTGTACACACATTTGTCTTCAGCGATCGTGTCGGGGAGGTGTGCATCATGGAATGCCAATTTAATAGAACAAAGTGTTCTTGCATTGAGGAAGTACTTGAGGGGAGACCCAATGTCCATCTGCTGCCTTAATACTAAACCTATCAATATATGTACATAGATCTATTACCCCATTATCATATATAAATTTACATACATATGTACATGCCTATATTTAGACCGCTATCAATGGCCTTTGCCTCCTAGTTCTTCCTCTATTTTCTTTTAGTTTCCTCTTGTCCCTCTATCATGTTCAGCTTTCATTTGGGTTTCGGTAATTCCTCTCGGTTACACTGCCCTCAATCAATTCCTACCAGGCCTGTCACACCCTCCTTGCCACTAATTTTGGATCACTTGTTGTTCCCTTGTCCCTGTGTTGGTCAACACCACCTCCTTTCCCTCACCTCCCCCTCTCCCATGTCCCCCCAGAACCATTGGTCCTGTTGTTTTCTCTTCCAGACTGCTCATCCAGCCTATCTTATCTACATAGACCTGCAGATATAATAATATGCACAAAAAGCCAAGACATAGTAAGACAAAGTGACAAAAGAAAACACGACAACAACAACAAAACACCAATGACAAAAAAAAAAAAAGATATATACAAAAAACAAAAATTAAAAAAAAAGAAAATAATTCAAGGTCTATTTGTTGACCTCTAAGAGTGTCCTCGAGTCCGATGTGGTGCCACGCCCTGGCTCCAAAGTCTATCCTTTGCATTCCCTTGGGACCTCCCTGCTCTGCTCCCACTGCTGCTCTGCCACATACTATTAGTGTTTTGCCTTGGTGTGGTGGGGTCAGACCCGGCCAATCCTGACACTGTGTCTCCAGTGTTGTCCCCCATAGGGCCATGGGTCAGCGAGTGACGTCGTGTCTCATAGTGGAGTCAGCCACATGGTCCACTCTGCGCATTGGCTGCTCCGAGTGGGGATATCATCCTCCAGGCTTGGTGGGCCAGGATGCGCGCCACTCTCTCTTCCTTTGCTCCTGTGTGCTCTGATCAGACATAACCTTCTCCCTGAGCTGCATCTTCAGTGTTGTCGTCTAAAGTAAATTCTTCTGGGGGGATCCCTCAATTTCTTTAACACTGCTATTTTTAATAGATTAAAATTAAAACTCACAGCCACTGAGTCCATTCAGACTCACAGTGATCCCACAGGACAGGCCAGAACCACTCCCATGGGTTTCAGAGACATGAACTCTTTACAGAAGTAGAAAGCCTCTTCATTTCTTCTTTCTCCCTGGGAGTGGCTGGTGGTTTTGAACTGCTGATCTTGTCGTTAGCAGTCCAGTGCATAACCACCACACCACCAGAGCTCCCTTTTTAATATCTTGGAGGTGTGTTCCTTATAACTTAGTTTAGCCTCACTTCCATCATTGTGCAACATTGCAAGGTAAAAAAGAAAGTGAAAACCACCATGCAACCAAAGTCACAGCTCTCTTCTGAAACTTAAAGGCACATTTGAATTGGCATCTGCCTTTTTAATTGGCCCACATCAACTTTCCAAAGACAAATAGCAAAGCCAGGACAGGCAGTCCAACTAAGGCAAAGTCTGTGGGAACCTGTAGAGAGCTTGCTTCTCTCTCTGGGGATAAGGACAATGAAAAAAGGTGTTCTGTTTTCCAGTAATCCTGTAAGAGGAGCCATTGAGCTGGGCTACACAACCAGACAACAGAATGCAGGGGGGGGGGGGGGCGGATTCAGAGCAAAGCAAGGGCACATGCCAGGTTAATATGCAATAAAATCCTTTGCCAAAGCATTAAGGGGAGGGAAAAACATATACCCAAAAAACCTCAACAACAATAAAAAACAACAAGGAGGTGGAAAGAACCTGCTGGACCACCTTGGTATTAGCACAAGGAGGCAGGAAGAAACGAAATCTGCCTGCATTGAAGAGCTGAGAAAAACAATATCCGGGTTTATACTGGAGCATTCCTATGTACAAGAATATGAGCCCACAGACATATTAACAATGAATTAAACCCAGAATGCAGTGACCTACATGTACTGGAGTCCTCCCAAGTATACATATATGAATTTATTACCACCAGCAAAACCCCAAAGCAGAGTGTTCTAGATGTACATCTATCTGAGTATATCGATATGTTTTCAGTGAACAGAACCCACTGATTTTACCGTAAGGAACAACAAAATGCTCTTTCAAATAACATCAGAGTAAATAACATTGCTGCGGAAGCAATACGTCTCCCCACCCCACCCCCCACCTTATAGCCTCTTTCATGAGCTCTGAATCTCAAATTTCATAGGTGCCTCCAACACACACACACACACACACACACACACACACACACACTCATGCACACGTACCATAAGGTCTCTGGAAACAAAGGAGGGTCTTTAATTCTCTGATCTGTGATGCGCGCGCACACACACACACACACACACACGCACACACGCACCCGATGAAAAGACCACGACGTGACTTTCATTAATGAGTAAGTCGAATCGAGACGTCTCAACCCAGACCACAGCCAGGCAAACTGTGACAAACGGGCACGGCGAGCGCCACAAAGAAAGGGGAGGAGTAGATCGGGACCAGGAAAACACTGGCACGCCGCGCCCCCCAAAGCGCGCTCCCATCGCCAACACACGGGCAGCCGCCCTCGCCACCCTCCTCCTCCTCAGCCGAGACTCCCACGCCCTGCGACCCGACGCAGGGCACAGGGTAGCGGGGCGCGGCTGCCTGCCGGGTGCGCCCCCAGCCCGTACGAGGCGCCACGAACTCGCCCTCGATGACCTCTCGGTGACAGCCCCGCGCCGCCCTTTGTATGGGACCCACCTCCCGGCCTCGCCGGACCGTCCCCATCTCCCTGCCGGCGCCAGCCCCTCACCCTTCCCCTCCTAGCGCCAGCAAGGCTGGGTGCCTGGGCAGTGTCGGGAGCGAGGTGGGCGCGGGCCCGCGGTCTCGTCAGCATCCCCGGTCAGGAGTCCTCCCGGTCCCCGCAGCCTGGACACGGGGGCCGCGGCCCTGGGCGCTTTCCACCGTCGCACGTCCACTT